TGTAATTGGCACCCAATTTGAATTTCTCCATTTTAATTGGCTCCCAATCTACTCCTGTGCTTCGAAATTGGTCCCCAATCTTGAAATTGCATCACATACTACAGCTTCAATTGGCTCCCAATTTCAAATTCAATTTGCAGCTTCAATTGGCTCCCAATTTCAAATTCAATTTGATCTCAATTGGCTCCCAATTTCAAATTCAATTTGCAGCTTCAATTGGCTCCCAATTTCAAATTCAATTTGATCTCCATGTCTTCCCCAATCTTGAAATTGCATCACATACTACATGTCTTCCCCAATCTTGAAATTGCATCACATACTACAGCTTCAATTGGCTCCCAATTTCAAATTCAATTTGATCTCCATGTCTTCTTTGAATCGGTCCCCAATTGAAATTGCATTCAATTCTACATCTTGAATTGATTCCTTTGTGAAACTTGCTCCCAATTTCATTTCAATTTCTCTGAAACTAACTCCCAATTCCCAATTTCAATTGCATGCTTCGAAATCAGCTCCCATGTGGAATTGCATCTCAATTGCCACCCAAGTGATTAATTTAATCTGGCTTCTCAAATTTTACCTTGTAAAATTGTTGATGGTGAGTTTTGAACTTGAGCCATTTCACATAATATATCAAGCATCATCCACTTCGTCTGTACAACTATTAATTAAATTTCCAATCTTCTTTGATGTACTCCTTTCTTTCCATAGATGCTTGATCTCCAAGTCAATTTCATGCATTCTTCCAATATTAATTTTATTCACGAAAATTCTTCTGGGATATCTTCTTTGAGTAGCATTGACGTGATTTCATATCATTCATCTTCTTCTTCAATTTCTCATTTTGTCCAGACAAACTCTTGATTTTAGGCTTAATATCTTCTTCTTCTATTGTCATGCATCTTCCTCTGTTTTTCTCTTTTCCAACTTAAATAAATTCCTGATCATGGTCTAAGACTCTACTAGACCTAACAAATAAAATTGGGGGATCTACAAATACATATTTGGCATATCAAAACAATTACACTTTATCTCTCCAAAATCCTAGCTTTTCTTCCAAGCCAAGTTGAAGCTTTGTCAAGACTTCAAGAGTTGTCTCCAAGATTCTACCTTTCATACATTTGGAAAGTGTAAGGATAGAAATGAGGTGTTCTTACTAGGTTAGGTTACAATACTAACACAAGGTGAAAGGTCAAGAATACCCTTACTAACATGGAAAGGTGTAAGGAACAAGGGAATTCCTTACAAAGCTCAAGGTACAACTTTGACTATGGGGTTGACTAGTCAATTACTAGTCCCCGACTATTAAATTTCAAGAATTTAAGGAATTAAATTACAAATTGAAATAAGATTAATTACTTAATTAATCCCTTAATCGAATTTGGATTTCGGGGTGTCACAGCCGCCACGTCCAAGCTTCGACGCCGTCGCCGTGTCCAACCTCTGCCGCCATCGCCTCCTCCATCCTCTGTCGCCGTCGGTCCAACCGCCGCCGCCGTGAAGAACTGAGGTTTAGCTTTTAGGGTTAGCTTTTCTATTGTAATGTAATAAGCTGTCAAATTCATCCAAAAATTATCTGATTGTATCAATGTGTGTGTTTATGCTAAACAATTTTAGATTTAAGCTAGGGTTGGGGAATTAGGGTTTGAATTTGTGCAAAATTTCTGTGAAATTTCGCTATTTAATGTTCATATCTTGAGTTCTAAGTAGACCTGGCAATTCGTGTATACGGGTTCGTTAACGGGTCGACACGATAACGACACGAACACGATAAGGCTAAACACGGACACCACACGTTAAGGTTAACGGGTTCAAATTTTTAACACGAACACGAACACGATTTGTCAACAGGTTAAACGGGTTGACACGATATACACGTTTTGTTAACAGGTTTCGGGTCGTGTCGACACGAAATTCGTTTAAACCCGCTAAAACTATTAATATATTTTTAAAAAAAAACTAAAATTTAAATTTAAGTTATATAAAAAAGAAATAAAATCTACAATTCAATCCATCAAACAAACGAAATAAAATATTCAATTTATAACATTCATGAAATGATAAAATAACATACAAAAATCATAATTAAAGAAGTCCAAGCTAGTTTTTAGAATAAAATTGAACACAATAAAAATTCAAATTTCATATTGTTGAACATCAATAATTGGTATATGATCTTGGCCTAATGTAGTAAATTCATCATTAGTCATGTTCATGATATCTTTTGTAATCTCATTCATGAAAATGGTTCTTAGCGGGTTATAAACAGGTTTGTGTAAACGGGTTCGTGTAAACGGGTTGACACGATAATATTAACGGGTTCTTAATATGTTTAACGGGTTGACCCGTTAAGACACGAAACATAACGGGTTCTTAACGGGTCAACCCGTTAACGACCCGGGACACGTTAAGGCTAAACACTAACCCGTTATTTTCGTGTCCGGTTTCGTGTCGTGTTAACGGGTCGTGTTCATAATTGCCAGGTCTAGTTCTAAGCACCCTGCAATAATAAAAATTTAGTCATTTTGTGTATGGAACTCAAAAAATAATACCAGTTAGTTATTTCCTTATATAATAAAAAACATTAAAGGTTTCTCTCCATTAACTTTATGTACCTATTTGATGTCATCACTAGTTGTAGTTGTAACTAATGGTGGATTTCCATTCTCTGTTCGGATCGACCTACTTTCAAATATATCCATGCGCTTCTTAAGGTCACGGTTTTCTTTATCCTTCTCATGGAGTTTAGCCTCTAGCTCTTTGATGTAAATAGATTTTGTGTCATTAAAGTTTTTTCGCTTCACTCCACCCCCATAACCATATACATGACCATGACGTTGTTGTCCAAAATGTTTTTCAACAATTTCAAGGTTTGAAAGTGATGGGTTAAACCTAATAATCTTCACAATTTCATTCTATAAAAAGTTTACAAGTAAACAAGATTAATGCAGAAGTATATCAAGATAAAAAGATTAATGCAGAAAGGCTAAATAATGACACTTATATTAGCTTACATATTTTCTTCTTCTTTTGTGCCATTTAATTTTTCAATTTTGCTTCTAGTCTTTAAGAAAATTACTCCCAAGTCAGGCGGTTGTGAATCTTTACCTCCCAATAAGTTGAGAAAAAACAAATGTTATTCTAGGTAAAAAAAGAAAAAAGAAAAAAAAAGACTTCATAGATAACTAGCAGAACTGCTTTTTTAGTACATTTTCAATATGATCATTCCCGTATCTAATGTTGACCTATTCTTACTGTTTTGCTAACTGATTTTCAGCATAACTTTCAAATGTAAGTGATTATTTAAATAAAAAATAATTTTTTATAATATATAAAACCGTCATTACCATATCAACATACCTAAAACTTTTCAGTCATAAATTTGTTAGTGACAAACCACTTCCAATCTTCAACATTTACTCCAGGTGGAACACTTTTTAAAGCCTCAGTCTTACTTGATGCAAGGTCTCAGAAATTTTATATTCAAAAGTGACCTCCAATTTGTCCAAAAAGTACAGGTATGCTCTAGGGTATCATCACGATATAACTCAATATTTGAATTATCAAAACATTCCTATGATTTTTTTTTTTTAAATCAAAACAATATTCCTATAAAATTTTGAAGAAAACATAAAATTTTAATTTAAATGTCAATACACAATTATTAAATTTGTTGAAAATGCAATATTTACTTATACCTTTACTACTTCCCACATATGCTGCTTATCTGTATTCTCTATATCTTTCCATGAAAACACTTGCATTGGAAAAATATTTCGATCACAGCCGATTTTTGCTAAGTTTCTTGACCAATATTGATGATTTTTTTCCCACTGGACAATTGTTATAGAATACAATATCAAGCTTTTCTCCTTTTTTCAAGGGTGCAATTTTTATTGATCTTGTTTTCCCTCTTAACTTTTTTGTCTTTACTTGGAGATGAAACTATTAAATAAAATGAAGCAATAAATATTTGTATTGGAAAATTTTTTGGAGTCAGACGAGCTCCAATATTAAACGAGCCACGGAAGTTAGATGAGTTGTAACGTCAGAACTACAAGAATTAGACGAGCTATCTGGGAGGTCTACTAGTAAATAAAACCGGGATGTCTATTAACCCTAAGCTAGTGAGCTCCGTTGGAAAAGTGGGTTATCATATCCTATAACCCTATCAGATCAAATACAATATACACGACACACATTTAATACAATTCCAATGTTTTCATACGTGTCATTCTAAGGTTTAGACCTTTGACCCAATATCATAAAATGAACACTTTAATTTGTATGTATCACATTATCACCTTATATAAAACCATCATTACCATATCCCTAGAACTCCTAAATGAAGAAAGATAATTAGTAGTCTAAATTATAAGTGGAAATATATAAAACTAAATAAGTTTCTGGGACCAATTTTCATCCGTGTTTACACCTTAGACCCAATATCATAAAATGAACACTTTAATTTGTATATATCACCTTATCCAAAAACAAGTGCATGACAACAGAAAACTTGCAAAGCATACAAGTGTAACATCATAGTGACATGCAGAATTGTTTGGCATGATAATGGGAACCTTACAAAGTAAAGGACAAGATAAAGTCCAACTTGGTCAAGGACTCTTCTCCTTCTCCTCTGCAGTCTGCTCTCTATATGTGTGTGTATATATAGTATAATAAAAAATTATTTAAAATTTTATTCACTCCTCCTAGACTACCAGAACCAATTTTTTTCAACCTACTATACGTATCTAACTTTAATTTCTTCCTATTCTATATATAGATACTCTACCTATAAATATATATAATATAAAATATTTGTGTTTCCTTATTAAATGCATTCCATGCGCTGATAAATATTATATTTGTGAGGTGACCATTATTCTTGTATTTCTAAGCCATAGAAATTATTAAAAGCAATCCATTCTTTTAGGATACAAACAATCCTATAAATACCCTATAATACAATGCCAATGGTCATTGCATCTCTACAGATAGAGACACAATAAAAAGGAAATGGAGTTTTCTTTTCTGCAGCTCACCATCGCCATAATTACCTTTGCCGCCATTGCCCAAACATCTTTCGTACAATCCGATTGTGACTCTGATTGCATTAAAGGATTTGTTGCTGCACATAACGCGGCCCGACAAACTGTTGGCTCTCCACCTGTTCACTGGAACTCCACCGTAGCAGACTTCGCCAAATCCTATGCCGCCAAGAGGTCTGCTGACTGTGCGCCGCAGCACTCTTTTAACCAGGCGTATGGGGAAAACATTGCGTTGGCCTCTGCCGAATTGTCTCCGGCGGATGCCGTGAAGTCGTGGATGGATGAGAAGAAGGACTATGACCACAAAATTAATGCTTGCGTCGGCGGCATGGAGTGCCACCATTATACGCAGGCGGTTTGGGGCGGTAGCACGAGTATTGGCTGTGCTAGGGTTACGTGCAAAACTGGTTGGATGTTTGTCTCCTGCAACTATTACCCTCCGGGTAACTATATGGGCGAAAAACCATATTAAAGGCAATTTTCTTTCATGGTTATTATGATCTTGTGAAATGCAGACAGCGCATTATATAAAAAGAATATAAATATCTAAAAACTACACTAATGTATTATCATGAAACAAATATTGTTTCATGCATATATGGATGTTGATTCAATTCAATTTAATTTGAACTTTTTCTTTTATTACTTCTGGCTAGCTATTCTTGAATTTTTTTTTCATGGTTCATGCATAAATACTTGGTATCCCACCGTTGTGAGTTCAATCATACTTGTAGAGTATATCTATTTAATATGCTGCACTCAATTAACTACATAATTTAGGGAAAAATAATATCACATTTTCACAAATTATTATCTCTAAAAGAACTTTTTTGATCAAATTGATAATCTACTCATTAGTCGAGTTAACTAAAATTTTTAAAACCAAATGTGCCAATAAATGATAAGCATAATTTTATTCGTTTGTGAACACATAAAACTAGTTCTCATTAACATCTTTATTATGCGCAAATTCTAAAATCTTACAATCTTGTAAAAATCTGAAAGTGGTTGAAATATTAAATGATTGTAAAGTATTTAGTATGTGGGCGAACCTCCTTGATTTTCTTTGTTGATTAGTATGTTCTTATGAAATGCAAACAGTGCATTATACAAATAAAATATAAATATTTAAAAAATATAAGTATTTATTGTGAAACAAATATTGTGAGTTCAATTTTGAACTTTTTCTTTTCCTTCTGGCTAGCCATAACTATACTTTTTTCTGGGTTCGTGTAGCATACTGATGGTATCCCACCATTGTGAGTTCAGTCATACTTGTGGAGTATATTTGTTATCCAAGAACACTCTTTAATATTCTGCACTCAATTAACTGCATAATTTATGGCATTAAGATTAAGTATAGCAATTTGATAAGAGATTATGTAAACGGCTAAGAAAAGAAGGGAACACATAGAGTTTGATTTATTAAGGCAAAGGAAAAGTGAGATTATTATATTGTTGATTTGTAACATATGTAACAGTTATGTCATTTAGTATAATACTTAATGATTGTACATGTATATATATTCAGATATTGAAATAACAGAATGAGAGGTCTCTCTCGCTTATTGGGTTCTTCATCTCTTCTCTACCTTCTTTCTACGACGATGATGATCGGACAGCCAATACTGAATCCGACGGCCGGTGGATCACCGGCGATGGCGCCATTGACGAAGGGGTTTGATGAAGGCCAAGGAGGGCCTTGGCAATGGATCGCCGGTATCGAAAATTGGAGCCCTAGATTTGCGATGAAGACGATCGTCTTTCCCTCTCCGATCGCCGGAACTTTTGGGGCTCCCATGGAAGAGCTGCGAACTATCATCCCTGCGGCAGACAGCAGGGAATCGAATGATCAGAAAATGAGTTAAACAACTCCATCAACAGGTTCTGTTAGGTTGTGGTTTAATGTTTAATGCGTTATCTGTCATTATAAATCATAATCTTTGCAAAATGAAAATCTATCACATATACATGCAAGTCTAAAGGCATATCACATATGATTATTTTAAATGGATTGCAATATCTGTTTATAGACTAAAATTGTCATGTTTGATGACATTGCCAGTGAAACTGACAATTTTGTGGATGCCCTTAACACCATTGAGTCTGTATCTGAAAGTGATGATTGTCAAACAAGAAACAGTTGGATCTAGTCTCTTATTTGGAGACCAAGGTAGTAGAGGATGCTATGCCTTAAGTCATAGCTAAGTATGTTGATAGCCTCTCGCCTAATTTGACATCTAAAGCTGGTAAAATTCCTGCTGGAAAGTATATTTTTTGGGGATTACTCTAGTGCAATGCCCTGCAATCATGATTCTGCAGTTTGCGTTTCCTTGGACAGGGTAACATGTGAAGATGCTTTCCGATTGAATACATCAGAATGTAATTCCCACTAAGAGTCCCCACAGACGGACAAATGGTGGTGTTTTTGTTACGAAAACATCCTCAAGATAATCATCAGTTGATTTAGATGCTAGAGTAGAGAAGTCAAATCACACATGTCAACAAACACAAAAAGTCGAATGCATATTGCCAGATATTCATTCTATTTCTAATGCTATGTTACCCTTCAAAAGTCAAAATTGACTCACATCATGCTGGTTTGCCTGAAGCAAACAAATTGTGAATTTTTTTTACACTGTAATCACTGCCTGGAAATTCTGACCGGCACAGTTTGAAAATTAAATTCGTAAAAAATACTTCTTGAACTCCTTTTGGCATGAAAATTTTTTCTAGAGAACCTAGACTTGTGGTATTTGATGCCTGTGAAAAGATTTTCTTAAAAATATGCTTTGGTTGTTCCAGAAAAACTATGTAAAGTTCTGGCAGTGTGCTGCCAGTTATTTTTCTGCCTGACGCAATGTTGGAAATATTTTGAGAAAAATACTTCTAGACCTTGGATTGTCATGAAAGTTTTTATGTATGTTCTAGACTTGTTGGAATACATATCTGCAAAATTTTGTGCCAAAATGTGTTACCTTTTTTCCCCATAAAATTCTGCAATCCAAGTCAAAATTCTGAAATTTTCTGCTGATTTCAGCTTGTATATCTTGCTATTTTGTGATGTTTTCATACCTATATGAAACTATGAGATAAAATGAGAGCTTGCTTGGAAAAGTACTGTTTTTGACTCCCTGAAATAAGAATGAATGGGCCCAGCAGCAAACATGTGCTCATTATTCATCGGCGAACGGTACTTCTCTCATTTTTCTAATTTATGAATTAATAAGAATATCTCTTGTCATGTCATGCATTGTGTGTACCACGCATGATACTCTTTGTTTAAAGTGGATGTGCATGACTTATTTGAGATTTTGGTGTCCAAGAAATAAAGGACAATTATACTGCATATTGAATATGCGTATCTTTAATTGACAATATTTAGCCTATAGTCTCTTGATTAGGCTCATAGAAGAGAATTTGTTATTTCTCTTATTGGCAATTAATTATTTGCTATAGGTCATAGCTATTGTGATTTTTCACGCAACTTATAAGTGAGATAATAGCATGAATTCTCAATATGGTTTTCATTGCTAGGTTGCACCTGTCGTTGCTAAACCTTAATTTGATCCTGTGATATCGATGGGATGATATGAGTCTAAATATTGTGATATATAGCATAAATATTGAATATAGCTTTGCCCAGAAGGAGAATTTATTGCACTAATTATATGATAATAGCACTATGACAAATTTCCAAAAAGTAAATATTTACTTGGTATGATTTAAAAGTCAATTGTTATTTGTCAAAATTCAAGTTCATTGGTTGTGCTAATCTATTATAGCATTGTTTCACATGAGTCTTTGACATTGAAATAAATACAAAATTTGAGTATTTACAAAAAGGATAGTACCTGCTTTTTTAATATAGTTTTGCCCAGAAGGCAAACTAAGAACATTAATTTATTTGTCACTCGTTATCTTGGGTGTCATTTATGATAGTCACATTGTACTCCGATAGTAGTTCTTTGAGTGACTAATGACTCATGACTCGTGAATGAAGTCTGCAACTTCTATTTTTGAATGCTATGCTACTATGCAAAAATGCTATGTGCTTAACAGCCAAAAGTGAGTCACACCATGTTGATTTGCCTGAAGCAAATTTTTTGGCGTTTAATCTCCCTAAAATTGTCGAATGTTTCACTCATTTTGTTAAATGTGTATGCTTGCCCTATCTGATTTTATATTGCTTTTGTGGTTAATTTCATATACATTTGACAACTTATTATGTTGTGATAATCTTTACGTTGTAGAGACCCATTTTTTAATTATGGCATGACCAATCGGGTCTCTTAGGGCAAACATAATGAGTTAGATATTACAATTTCTTATCCACATGAGTATTTTATAGAGCATGTGTGAAGGAGAAATTACTGAATTATCTGTTTTGGGGATATACTTTTGTTTTAAATCCAAATCTAACTCACTGCATATCACAAATTAATTCCTTAAGGATTGTTATGATTGTTATACCTAGTACATGGTTTCCAAATAAAGATTTCCCTATTTGCGTTATTATTTATAGTGCACAGTCTATTTCAATATATCATCACCACATCGTACCTCTAAAAAGGCTACCAAAGAAAACTCCGTCTCTTTGATTAATTAATGCCAAGAGCACATGATAGGAGACCAATATACATATCCTTAGGTACGCTGACTGCATACTTAATTAATGAAGATTGTTTCTCGGCATTAGGGGGAGATAAGAGTTCAAATTTGATCGAATGCCAAGAAATTTCATAGAATGAAAATATCTTCATTATTTAAATCCATGTACTAGTTAGACTGAACTGGAAGTTCAGAAGATATATATTTGCGATATTAGCAAATAATCTGCCAAATATATCTATTGATCATACTGATCATAAAAGAGTGACTAGGTCCCATATATATTCCCCAATTTGGACCAAATATATCTACTGATACTCCTTGACGCCAGAAGTGTAGGAGATCTATCGGTGTAAGAGATAAGAATCATTATACTAGATCTAGTAAATAAACATTGTCACTCTTGAAATAGCTTGAACAATTATGTCCTGCAGACGTTCGTTCAAGATGTCAAAAAACCCTAGTAAAATTTATAGGTGCTCCAAACAAACGTAATACTAGGGATGCGGAACGACCAGATCAAAATATCTTTGGGAAATGTCTAGAATCTGGTTGTTTTAGAAATTGCCATTACTTTTACAAATATGAGAGTTTTACAAAAAAGGTTATAGTTGTCGACAACACAATTGCCATTACAAATTGCTCGTTATATGATAATCTGGATCCAGAATTAGGCACCAGAAGTGCCATGACTATTTAATATATAAAGGAGCAATTAAGGCACAGCTTGACTTGCTAAAATGAATAAATTCTCTTTATAACAATACATCATTAACCGTTAACCCTGAAGGTTACAAATCGGTGTGTGCATGAAAGAGAAGTAAGAATAACAAGGTGATAAAATATGAAGTGAGTTTGTAGCCTATGGGTTCACGCAGAGACCCTTAATTGATTTTAATCAAATATACTCTCCCACGGTAAATGGCATTATGTTCCGCTACATAATACAATTGGCAGAGTAATAAATTTAGATATGCAGTTAAATTTATTTTGAGAAATCCTGGATGGATTCATAATTCTCGAAATGAGGATTT